CTTAATGCTAATAATGCACACTTCCTCTGCTAAAAATCATATATGTCAAGAAAGAAGGGAAGAACAAATAAACTGCCATTAACAAACATAGATGACTGAGAAATCCTAAACTCTATGACACTGGCACTAGTATTATCATGAGTCCACTATAAAAATAAGGAAACAATGGTTCAAATAAGTGAAATTATTTTCTTAAAGTTGAACAAGTAGCAAGAGCAGAGCTGAGAACTGAGTCCTGGTCCTTCAGTTCCAAAGCTTACTCTATAGAGTGCCATCCTATCTTGTCACCCTTTGTAAATTAGCCAGTTGAGACTGAGTGTTCATGGACTCAGGTTCATAGTAATGTAGCTGCAGGAGAAGGAGCAGGTGACTGGGACAGGAAGCCCGGACTTCCCAGGGGAACTGGAGGCCTTTGTTCCAATAAGGACAAAAGAGAGAAGGACTGGATGGAAACATTCAGATGATATTCACTATGGTTTTGCCCCAGAAATCAGAGGGCTCTGAGATTAGAGTAGCAGCACAAGAAAACACCATGGTCAGCCTGGGAGGTGAGGGTTAGGCTTAAGGTTAGGGTCAGGTGTGATTCTAGATTCCTTGTGACAGAGGCTAAGAAACAGGAGGATAGAGAATGACAGGTAGGTTATAAATGGAAGCCAAGGGCAGGCACTCCCAGGGTTAGGAAGGCACAAAATTGAGGAAGGAATGTGCGAATCCACTCAGTTATAGCAGTTTGCTGGATTAAGGGCCCTTCTTAAGGGCCCACCTAGTGTCCAAATGTAAGCATTTCACTGAGTCTATCAATTGCTTTATAGTCTGTGAAAAGACAGACAAGGGCAATATAAGTTGGGGTCATTGTGAAAGGATTATTATTGTTAAATGCCGTTGAGTCTATTTTGACTCATAATGACCCTGTTGAGTTTCTGAGGAGCAACTGGTGAGTTTGAACCACCTGTCTAGTGGTTCAAAGTCCAGTGCATATCCTATAAAGCCACACGAAGAGCCAGTAAATTCAGTGGACTTTCTCAGGGTTAGAGTGGGTCAACTGCAGAATGCAAATAGATATTTACTTTCTGTAAATAAAGTTAACAGCATGTTGAAAGTCTTAAAATAAAATGCTCACCTTTTCCCTTGAGTTTATATTACAGAAGTAACATGATGCAATGTGATATTTCTTTGTGCAAATATGTTCTTTACAAAGGCACTTATAATCAGAAAACTGTATATAAACAAACCAACTCCACATGATCTGTTTTAAAAGTTTGCTAGAATATAATAAATAAAAAAT